AAAGTGAGCACTATTTTCTGCTTGTCTACCTGTCTGTGGTTCCCAGAGAAGAGCAGACAAATCCTTCTTCATGGGGTAAATTTGGAGCTTTATAAATAATAAGAACTTTTTTTTTAGAGAAAATATTAAAATGACTACCCTCGAAATTAGACACAGCTCATCCTAAAAAAAGATAATTTGTTGTTTTTACTTTGCTTTTCTCTACACAGACAAATTCTGTATATTCTCAGATGTAAGTCAAAGACAGAAGAACATCACAGAAACCAAACATACAAAAATAAAACACAAATGCAGTGTTTGTTGTCACTGTCACTCACCCTGACGAGCATGTGTGGAAAGGGACCTCTGGAGTTTTCCGGCACATTTATAGGTGGGATGACCCAGTCTCTCTTCTGTCGCCTGAGAGCATTAGCCAAGGAGCTTCTCTGATGTTTTCTGGGAAACTTTATAACTTTGGGTTGGGATTCCCAGGCTCTTGACAACATTTCTTCAATGCCAGCCTAAAAAAAACACAGACAAACAATATATATTTCATCTCAAATCACCTCACATCCTGCATCCATGATTTACCTGCTCATCTTATCACTTGCAGGAGATTGCTTTTTTTACCATGACAGGCCATAAGATGAATGTATAAAGTGCTGTAAAATGACGTGTTACCACTGTTAAAATTGTAGCTAAAATTGTGGTTGTCATGCTGAGGACAGAGCATTTTGGATCAGTGATAGAAAAGTAAACACTAGGAAACAAAAATAAAAGTTTTTTTTTAAGGTGCAGCATCCATTTCACAGGGCCCCTTTGGCAGGAAGGCACTGCCAGCTCAAGTTCTCAGCTTCAGAAATCAAATCTTCTTCTTGGCATGGTCTTTACTGAGGTGATCTATGCCTTCATTTCTGCACTGATTGTTTTCAGATAGACAGCATTATTATCCACTCACACTTATCCCCTCAGCCCATGCTGAAGACAAAAATAAATGAGTCACCTTGTTCTGATAGGACTTTGTCAGGGGCTAAAACATGTATTTTAGAAATAGTAGTTTTTTTCATGTAATAAAATGTCCTTCCAACTATTGCAAGGAAATTAAAGTGGTTCAACTAACCTGAAATGCTCTTGTCTGCTGTAGTTTACATCATTCAACCACCAAGGTTTGATATTTGATGCAGAAGTGCATTTTACCAACAGTTTCAATCTGTATTAAAACTCTCTTGTGCATTGTCCCGTATGCATCTGTTTTTATAATACTGTTTCATTTCTGTCTTCATGACGTTTACTCATGAGATTTGAGTTTAAAGTGATGATTTACAAAATCACCGTTACACATGTATCGTCCACCAGGTGTGGTATCCACACACCTGAACACACAGAGAAACCCTTAAATCACAGAAATATAAAACCGTAAAGCAGAGTGATACTATTGGTGTGTGCATCACCTTTGTAAACACACACATCGATTAAAGAGTATTGCATAATTGAGCGCTAATTAAACAACAGGCTACACAGTGAAGCAGGTCATGATCTACGTTTCCCTACCAATCCACTTAGATCCTCAGACCAACAACTCAGTGTGTGGGACTAGTTTTTTTATCTACTTAGCAATAATTTCAGGAAAATCAAACTCAACAACTCCATCATGTATATACCTCATAAACCTTATAAATAACCTCAAAAATAAATATATGAAACCCAAATGCTTATCTTAGCTTTGTATGACATGGCGTAAACGTGGAAACCATCACCTCAACAACGGCTGCCTGCAGCATCCAGGAGCAGAAAAAAGGGTATCAGACTGATATCGGTATAGACAGATTATTCAAGTTGTAGTATCAGTATCGGGGAAGAAAAAGTTGTATCAAAACATCCCTTGAATTTACTTTAAATTTTTACTACTTTGTTGTTTAACTTGACAGCTACAGTGCTGTGTTAAAGACCTGGTTATCTGTTCCTCTGTAAGACTGTTGTGTTACTGTAATCCCACTAATCCTATTGTTGTCTCTGCACAATACGCAGACACACAAACACACGTCTCTCACACTTCCTCCTGCAGGGCAAGGTCAGACAGTCACAGACAGTTACTGTATGAACAAAGGTGACCACAGGCAGCTTTTTTTCTGCCAAAAAAACCCCCCAAAAAACAAAACTGCCTGTTGACAATTCGTCCTATCATTTTACACCTGCTTTGTCTGTGGAAGAGGCAAAGTGTAAGCTACACCTGAGTAAACACGCCGTTTTTCATCCTTTGTTCAAAGCCTTTGCACATTCACAGCACACAGTATTGGACCATGTGCCCGGTGCAGATCGTTCTCTGGACAGCCAGGCCTTCGATTTATCTGAGGAGAAACATGACACAAAGGCAGCCGCACGACCAGCGAGAACGTTTAAAGGAGGGAGAAAGGAACACAAAGACCAGATGTGTTTCACTGATATGATCGTGTTTGTTCTAGCTCTGCTCATCCAAAAACGCTCACCGGTAACAAACAGCATGCCAGTGTTCTACAACAGAAGCAGGTGGATTCACTCTCTGTCTGTAAACGTGGACAAAAAGAAGACGGCACAACTCGACCAGTCATCCTCTCAGTAAAGTATTTTTAGTCCAGACTGCTGGACTAAATTATGGAGCATCTTTTACAACATATTTTCTGCAAGAAAAAATAAATGGTTGCTCTTAGTCTGTTGATGGAGGCGGTCTATTTGGTCAAGTTTGAACTTTTTGCAGTGAATAATAGTTCAGCCAAAATAATAGAAAAAAAAAGGAAAAGTGGACAAGGGGGCAGTGATGAAAGAAACCCTAATAATTGAATGAAAGAGATATGTGGATAATATCAGTACACTAGCTTCATGAGGACTGTTTCTTTCACACAACAAAAAGGATGACAGGATGTTGGCAGTGTGACAATAGCAGAATTGCAGAGAAAAGAAGAAAAAATCTGGAACATGGTTTCTGGGAGCTGCCATGGAGCTCAGTGTTTTTTGTTTTTTTTTCCTTTCTTTCTTTGTGTACATGCAGAAACCATGTGTTTGAGCATCCTCCTGCAAGCAACACATAGAAGGTGTGTCTGCGAATCCCAGACTATATGTGTGTGCATTAACACATGGTAGAAAGACTGCTTGTGTGACTCTGATATGCCTGCGGCTGCTGAAACCCAGAGGCAGAAGGGCCAGCTGGCAGAATGCTGCTTCCTATGCAGCCTGGGCGATACTGTGGCTTTCTTCCGGCCTGTGATGCCTCAAGCCCTGGAACTGACACCTGGAGGTTATCAGAGTGACAAACAGGCAAGAAAGCACAAAAAGAGAACATGTTTACTGCCTTTAATCTGTTCAGAGGGGCTTTGAAAAATATCTGATTTGAGGTTTTTGAATAATTTATTCATATGTCTAAGTGAAGCTAAAAAAAGAGAAAATCGTTGTAAGACTCTTGTTGACTCAAAGCATTAACATCACAAATAACATTATTATGATTTTAAAGCTTGTAGTAAACGTGCAAATGTCGGTCACTGTCACTTCAATAACCAGAGGTCCCCAGGGTCCAGGTTTTTAATCAAACTGCTGGCCTTTGCATTAATCTGCCCTGAATAAGATGCTGTGATGCTGTTTGTGAAGACGAGGTAAAGTTTTAAATGAAATTAGCGCAGAAATGCACTCTGACGACCAGTCATCTCAAAAATAAGTGATGCATAACTGATGGGCTCTCAGCTGGTGAAAAAGTCAAACCAATGTGCCATGAAACCAGCATGAGACGGAGAGCACTCATCGGAAGGACCTATCTGTATGACATGTTATAGCCCGAGTACATAAACAGAGTGGAAATGGCTCTCAGGCACAAGATGTTCCGCACTCTAATCGTTGGGCCGTCGAACACTGAGAAGTTAAACAGTGAAATGAGCTGGTCAACCATGGAGAAGATTCCAAATATGCTGATTTCTGACAATAAAACAGAACTTTGTGAACCAAGCTTGTGTGCCTCCTGTAAACGTCCCTCCGCTCAAATCTGTTCTCAACCAAACGCACGAATTGCAGAAGTGGAATTCAGTTGAGCTTCTGTCAGAACACATAATCTGTCTCTGCATAAAGCAAAGAAACCAAATGAGTCAGTATTGGAGCAGACCGCTTTTTAATCACCCTCGGGAAAAGGGGGATATTCCAGTGTGGTTTACATTCTCTGCTGCTGATGCTGCTGCCAGGTGGATTATATGCAGAGGAATGCTGCGGTTCACAGATGCGATAAAGAAAACCTCCCTTCTACACAAACGTTTCCTCTCTGAACGAAGAGATCGGCCTCAGATAACAACCTCTTTTCTCTGTGGACCCCTTTTACGGATAAGGGAAATTGGCCATAATGTGAAAAAAACAAAACAAAAAAAAAAACAGAGCACTGATAACACTGTTTTAATCATAATTTCATAAATTATGTGCACATTATATGTCAACTTTACTTATTTATATCGATGAAGTCAAAAAAATGTTTGAAATATCCATGCATCATATTAATTTTTTAACTTTGATTTAAGAAACAGAGAAACAGTGATTTAACTACTTTGCTCCGATATTAAAAATACTGTCGTCACGGCCAACATTTCTGAGTTTATTGCCAAACTATCTTTTCTCAAAAGGTTAAATTCCCTCCTAATTTAAGAGTTTTAAAGATTAACAGTGAGGACGGACAGAAAGTTAAATTATTCTGAAAAAGGTCTGAGGCAGAGGGCAGGTGCATTACCAAGTTTGTTTACAAATCAGCTGCATTTATGAATGTCATTGAAAACAGCGGACGACTTTTGGACACTACAAGCTGAGCTTTGATCCTACAGTGAACCTTGTGTAAACAAAGCCAGTGTAAAACGCTCAGGGTGAGAAAAATAATGAGTGTGAGTCGACGGAGTGTCTTCAACATGGCGACCACTAATTGTGAATGACGCCATGTTGATTAAAACTTGAAGATAAACATTATTAATTATTAAAAGAACAAGTCTATTGTACATATATGTACTTGTAGCCTTAACTGTATTTAACAGGAAACAAACTATGTTAATATTGCACTCTATCTAATTTAACAAGTGGCCATTTTTGTGTATTACAGGGTTTGAATACAAATCAAAAGCCTAGATTTTTATATGATACAATGCGGGCAGGAAGTGAATGCAAAATTAAGTATTATTGGGGTTGTGTGGCCCCACCCATTTACTGATGCCTGGTTTTTCTGTATGGATTTTCTTCTTGTCCTTGTGTACAGAGGTTTTCCAGCATACTTCAGGTTCATCCTATTATGCTATTTGGACACTGTAAATTAACCATAGGTGTGAATGTGAGTGTGAATGGTTGTTTATTTAACGCCTCAAACCCTAATTTTCCAGAATGTACTCCACCCTCAGATGATTGAATCATAATGGAGAATGTCTTGACCTGGCTAAGTGCTATCTACTGCTAATGTTACTCTGTCACACTCCTGGTCAGCTTTTCTACCAAGAAACCTTTTAAGCCTGATGTCTGAGCCAGTGACAGGCACGGAAAATTTCATCAAGCTCCAGCCCCCATAATCATTTGGCAAGATTTTTAGTTAATGAGGCTTAAATCAGTGAGGCTTCCTTCATGTCAAGAGGCAGACTGGTCAAATACACTCCAGTGTGAAGCCAGCTTCATTAATCAATGTTTTATTTAGTACTCTTTTTCTTATTTTGTCTGAGAGTTTGGTGCGAGTTCAACTTATAAATATGCTACACTGGACCTACTCCCTGAGGCTTGATCAGAACTGTAACCTGGGTTGCAGTTGATTTGTGTTAATGGGCTGCCAAATTAGGCTGCAATTTATTTATTTTTTTATTTTTTACACGGGTGAGTTTTTTCATTTATCACTACATTTACAGCTTCTAATGTGAGTCATGATTCAATAGATCATAACTTATGATGTTGGCAGTTCCAGTTCATCCTGTCTTATCATAAAAAACAAACAAACAAACAAACAAACAAACACAAAAAACTCAACCAAAGTAGGGACTAAGGTGTAACTCTACACCACCGGCTTTACCAGCATCAGGTAAAGTCAATTTCTTTGAAACTTTATTTAATTAAAAAAAAAAAAAGCTCAATTATATTTAATTAAAAATTGAAACATGGACAATGTGTGAATAAAAAGTACAGAAACATGACTAATGCAAAAATGGTACACTATCTGACCTGAAGGTTTTTAATGCACATACAATACAGATTTCTCCAAGACTTCAACAGGACATTTTACCACATCACTCACTGGTACCAACTGCATCATAAATTGACACTAATCCCCAATCCTCCTAATACCAGTAAGACATTATCTTTTCAACAGTTGGACACTTACCTATATCAATGTAATTTCCCAGCTTGGGTCCAATAAAGTATATTTATCTCTCTAAGATGATTTCTAAGTTTAAGTTACGACATTTTTCAACCACAGAGAGAGGAGCCTGTGATCAAAACTCATTTGCTGGCCACACAGTCTATGTCAGGGACCAGCGCTCGCACCGTTCCTCAACTTGTGTTACGACTAATCATCAGTAAACGGGAGAGCCACTCTGAGGTCAAATACAAAGTTAATTTGCTGGAAGTGTCACTTGGGGGTGCAAGGTAGTTTGAAAGTAAAGAAGTGTTAGCTTCTTTACTTTTCGCATCGGGTCAGGGTTTTCTGTTGGACTAACTTTCAAACTGAACAACTGAAACAACAGGGGCTGCAGGACAAAAATGTCCAGACAGACTGATGACACGACCCACAGAGACTTGTCTGCAGGCCGTTTGACAGCAGGTCACACACTCCGCCGCTGGAGTCAATCTCTGCCTTTTGTTTTTTTAGGGGATGTTAAGGCAAAGTTGTGTGAGTAATAAAGTTTGACTGCGGAGAGCACAAAGCCTAACACAAAATGAGTCAAAATGAATAATCTTTATTTATAAATGTCAAACTTCCCACTCAAGTCATTAACAGTCAGCGGAGGCGTGTTTTTATATAGAGTGATGTTTTCAGTCTCACTTCACTCGATTTATTTTCCTTTTAAATGTTGTTCCAGCAGTGTGAAATAATCAGACATGGTGGAGTAAAACTTCAAAAGACAAAAATGAGAATCATTAAATTAAATTCAGTGTCAAACCAAAGTATTTTTCTTTTACAATTACGGTAACACTGACATACAACGTGTCCCTGTGACATGGTAACTACTGATTTTATGTTTGCGCTAATCCTGAAAGCAGGATTCATTTTAATTTCTGCTCAGGGATCACGGCTCAGTCAGGATAGAGGATTCAAATTCTGTTCTTGTACCTCACCTGTTCAACCCAGTTGGAAAATGACATGAACGCACGTCAACAGTGACTGGCACAGTGTGTAGCACACTTGTCTTTGTAATTTCCAAGTGGTGGAGAAAACATTTTCATTACTCGTTTGATTATTGGACCTTTCAGTCTGCACATGTCAGAAACATAATTATCCTCTGAACTACATCACCTGGTCCTCGTAGCCCTCGACGGAGCGGAACATTTACTCAATCAATGTCAATTATTTCCCAATCTCAATTATTGCACCAACAGTGGGCAGAATTTAAATCCCCACTCAACTATTGCTTCGGCAACTCAATTTATATGCTCTTTGTCATAATTATAAACACCAGTGAACACCAATGGGCTCGGAATGCAACAAGTGGTGCAGGAAAAATGATAATGTGTTTTTCGGTTAATTAGGTTCAGCTTGGGATTATACAGTAGAGTCATCTACCAGGGGTAACATACAAAAGAAAAACAACTGATGTATTATTGACTTTTCAGGCAAATATTGGAACAGTTTATAACTGGCTGTGAATTAACCTGGGGAATAAAAACTGTCTTGCTTTAGAGAAATACAAAAATACGGATAATAACATTTACTAATGGACTAAAGATTGATCACTAGATTAAAATGCCCGTAATGATGATAAACAGACATACCTGAGTCGTTGTAAACTATAGCACCGGATTCTTACTTGAGTGGAACCACACCGCTCCAACCACTCTGAGAATATTTTAAATATGCCATATTTTAATCATATATTTTTCTTTCCATCTGTTTTAACATGTTATAAAACATAACTTTGAAAATTCATTTATATAAATAAAACATAATTTTATTTTTTGCATCTTACCATTCCCATGTCCATGCTGATAAACTCAACCAATAACCTCAGCACCAGCGTACTGTACTGAAACCTCCTAAAACGGCGCTCTTCTTACCTTGGTGAATGGCAGAGGGTGAGGATGTCCAGCCAAGGCCAGTTTAACGGTGGTCTCCCAGATGTGAGGATCGTGTAGACCATAAGCCGTCACCATGAACTGCACAGGCTCTGACAGGTTAGCCACCTCCTGCTCTGCATACACCGTGCCGTCAGGTCTCACGCTGAAATTAGGGTCACTGCTGACAAAGCCCACCTCTCTGCTGCGCTGGCAATCCTCAAACTTGACTGTAGAGACAGAGACAGAGAGAGGACAAAGGCCCCACAAAGTCAGGGAGCAGAACAATGAGAGTTTTACTCATTTTAGGTAATCACAAATCCTTGACACATAAGGTGAGCTTAAGATTAAGCTGTACCCATCAAACATATCTCGAAATATCCCGTCCCTTCAGCTGTCAATCAATGTCCTCTTTTCTGACGTCGCTAGGAATGTCTTATCTCAAACTGGAATACACAGTTTTTTTTCTCACTTAACTAGACTGAAGGTAGTGTCAAACTGCATTTTTCTCAGCTCTGTTAGGGAAAGGTATGGACAAAGATCTAAAAAAAAAAGAAAAGAAAAAAGGGTTCTGGACTTATTGTTATTTATATAAAATTATATTATGATTGTACTGGTCTGGGCCACCTGACATCTAATCAGGCTGAACATCACCAGAAATGTCTGCTTGACTGAAAGCAAAGTAAAAGTGTGCTGAAGAATCTTATGTTGTTCATCCGTACTCTTTCTCTGGAGATGGCTCTTTTGAGATTGTAGGAAAAACAAGAAGAAATCTACTGTGTTTAAACTCTATCTGCTGCTGACGGATGACATCAGTGTGAAATGTTTTCCTCACCCACAAAGCTGTTTGTGAGCACCCTCTGTTCAAGCCATAACAGACAGTGCTTTTTCTATTCCACACCAGTCCAGTCAATTCACAGCTCAGACACACAGACTGTGAGAGTTTTTAAATTAGCAATTGTCTGTCAGTCTAAAAATATTTTTTTAATGATAATGTGTTTGCTTATTGTCTCTTTTCATTAAAAGCTGCTGATGTTGGCACTCTGAGCAATGGAATGGAGCTGTCCATGGTCCTGATTGTACTTTGTCTGCCTTGAACAGCTTTTTTATAATTACATTTTTTATATGGTTCCAAATTTGCATTGATAGGCCTTTTTTTGTGATTTCTTTTTTGACTTGTCAAGGCTAAAATAGCTTTGTGAAAATTACAACAATGTCCTGCTGAGCCAAATTACAAAAGCAGATATGTATTATACAAATGACTCATGTTAAACAAGCCAGGCTAATTGCTGTCAATTACAACGCAGGTCTCATGTGAGGGAATTGGCAAAACTAGGCTTGAAGACATATATGCACAACCGAATCACTCCTGACATCTGCTAATGTGTTAGCATTTTATCCTGTGTCCTGTGTTCTTTAATTGCAGTTTAGAGAATGTTTATGAATGTTAACAGTGTAGTATATCCAGTATTTCTCATTAGGGCTGTCAGTATCCTGGCACACGCAAAAAAAAAAACCAAAAAACTCTACTGTTAACCACCTTTCAAAAAGACATTAATTCAGCCCTGATCTGTGACATTTATAATGAATCGTCGACAGGTTCACAAAAGCTCTTGATATTCATTTAACATCATGTTCACAAGTCTGGAAATAAAATCTTATTTGAAATGCTGTAACATTATCTTTAAAGACCAGACAGTGAAGACTGGTGTAAAGAAAAGCTATGGGTCTGAATGTGTTGGAAGAAGGAAGGAGTGTGTGTGTGTAAATGTCTTGGTTAAAACCTTAAGTTTTAACTAAAATGTGTGACTTTTGGGGCAAAAGGTAATGGTACATTAAACACCACAACACTAACATCGTAGTAAAAGACACATCATCCTGTAACTACCAGTCTGTGTGTGTTTGTGATTTAACCCAGTCTGGTAGTACATAGGAAAAACACTAGGATATTGTATTATGCAAAAAGAAGCCAAATTCAAATTTTATATTTTGAATTCCACTGACTTCTTTGGACTTCAAGCTCATCTGAGACAATGAAAAATGTGTTTTGTGGTTCCAGCTTATGTTTTCGGGGGGTGGAGGTGAGATTGTGGGAGTTGGTGGTGGTGAAATAGAAACACTGGATTTGTGCCAAAGGAAAAAAGAACAGAGCCCAGACCGATGCAAAAGCCAGCATCTGTGTTGGAATCCATTGGCACAGGATATTTGAAAAAAAGTTCCAAAACCATTGAGGCGAAAGCTTTGTTGAAATTTCAGAGGGACATATGCTCCCATTATTCTGACACCTCGTGCCAGAATTTCAGTGACTTTTGCAGCAGGACGATGCAAGGTGTCAATCTGCATACATTGACGAAGGGTGGGTTTTAGACTTTCAGATGTGTGTGCTTGGCTGGTCTGCATGCAGATCAGTCTCCTGTTTTAAAATGTCTGGAGCTTAATGAACAGGAAAATCACACAATGGCATTTTGGAGAAAGGTTCCTCTTTCAAATTACTGGGAACTGGAACCAATGAATACACTCGCCTGGGTCCAATATTTTGAGAGATGTCGATTGCTAGTTTGAATCCCAGCCATGGTATGGATTGGGTGAATTGAGTAAACACCAAAAACTCAGCAGTGGTTCCTGGTTCATGGAGAAAATGTGTTTTCTGCGATTTGAGTTGGTAGGGTGTGAAACATGGAAACGAACAATAAACTAACTTTTAAGAGCATATCATATTAAACTTCAATTTCATTTATGACTTCAAGTATGAAAACTAATCTGAATATAGATTGTTTTTTGTTTTTTTTGCTTTTTAGTAAGTGCTGTGTTGGGTGATGGAATTGAACATGTTACAATTTTAAGAATGTATCTGTGCTTAATGATCTGTTGTTTTAGTTCTGTGGTGCGAGTAATCTGCTTTGTCATCTTACGCTTGGCGAACTACATCCTTCCTTTCTTTGAAAAATTGATCTTGAAATGAATAAACAAAGAAGAGGCCTGAGGGCATTTCCTCAGCTGACAGCCCTGAAGGTCAGTAAACCCACAGTTCTCCCGTTCAGTAGAAGAAGAAGATTACATACATATTTTACCACACACTACCATTGGACTTAATCACAGCTTTTCTGAGAGCTGCGACGACAGACTGCAGAACATACATTAACCCCACTGTATGTGTCTGTGTGAAGAATTTGCAATGAGAAACTTAATATATATATATATATAAATATGTATATAATGAAGTCCAACACAAGGCAAACATCCATCCTTGATAACCAGGTCTGCGTGTTAATGGTGTAACACCAATGCAAGGACATCGCATTGTGCTATGAGATAAAAGATGAAAACCTCTCTTTAAATAAAAAAAATAAATACACTGAATTGACACAATGAATGAATTGATGGTTTATTATATGATATTTATACGTAAATGTTTTTGGTTCCTGATCTATTTAAATGAACAAAAAGTAGCAAAAAGAAGTCATTAATTTACAGGGACTGCGTGATCTTGTGTGTGCAGCCCTTCCTGTAATCCCTGTGAAAACCTGTGAATAAAAGTTCAACCCTGCTGCCTCCAGAGCGGATAAAGAAACATTTGTATATGCGTCAGTGTATTTATTAAATGAAACAACAGGCCAAGGTGGTCTCGTCTTTGTGTTTGGTGCCTATAGATTCTACTTCTCAACAGTGTACGGCAGAGCTGCCAATTCATGTTATTCACAAGCAGCTCATTCAAGCCTAAATTAATCTTTTTATCTGTAGTAATTGATGTATAAACCTATGAAATGACACATTCAATGAAAACCCTACATTCACAGCACTACACAGGGCCTATACAAATACATTGCTCTCTTTTACTTTACATCAGCGTTTAGTGTAAAGTTTAGTTTCTTCTGAGGCTGATCAACTGGTTTCTCCCTCATAACTTATATAAACTCTGTATATCACTTTCTGATTTTCAGTTGTTCAATGTGTTTGTTGCTTACAAACATGATTTGCTCATAGGGTGTATGTAAGTGACAGACACAGGTCCGCTAATAGCCACTAAAGGTCCACTAAAAACTAAAGTAAAATGTCCTCACATAGAAAAGGAGACACTAACGCTCAAAGGCTGTAATTACGTTTTTGGTTGGAGTCAGGAGTGAAGTGTCATGATCATCATTGATGAAAAGTGAGGCAGCAGTCTATTTAAAACAGGGATAAAAGCTGACCTTGTGACCCCAATAATTCTTAGCATCACTCTGAGACACACATTCAGGGAAATATTATGGGGGGTTAAAGGTAAATAAAAATCAATCATTTTCATTGATTGTTGTCATCTTTTGGAAATCCACTTTTTATTATTGTGTTGTGTTGAAGCCAAAGGTTCAAAGTGTTAAAGATACACAATAAGACATTATGTAAAAAGATAGGTTGGTAGGTGGGTGGGTGGAAGGATGAATGGATGGATGGATGGATGACGGATAGATAGATAGATAGAAAGAAAGATGGATGGATGGATGGATGACGGATAGATAGATAGATAGATCGATAGATAGATAGATAGATAGAAAGAAAGATGGATGGATGGATGGAAGGACGGATGGAAGGATGGATGAATGGATGGATGGAAAGATGAAGGATGGAAGGATGGATAGATAGATAGATAATAAATATTGTACAATCTGACAACCATGAATGGATAGACTTTTGTTGGATAGAATTTTACACTTCATTCATCTAAGGTGTGTGTATGTGTGTGCTGCGGTGCATGTGTGTCTGTGTGTATTTGTTGTGTCTCTTTTGTGCCCCCCAGAGTACAGCAGTACTCTGCAGTCTGCTCGACGGCTGCTCTGGACTGTTACAGCAGTAACATGCTGTCCAACAGAGAAGCTAACAGAGCAGCACAGACACAGCGACAACAGAGCAAGCAGGCAGCCGTGACTGCAGACCACTGTGTCCTACACACACACACACACACACACACACACACAGACAAAGGGAAATGTTTATGCTCTTTGTCTTATCCTGCTTGTAAAACAACAATACCGTACTATAAAGGAAGATGAACCTGTATCTGTGTGGAGATGCTACACATGCATTATGCAGTGGTCCGGCACAACTGTATCTCAGCTGAGTCTGCCTTAACACAGTTCCACCTCTTACCCCCGCCCCCACCTATTTGTTTATACCATGTTCACCTGTCAAATGTGTCGCTCTCTCCCCGAACCCCCCCTGTTTTCTCCCAGTTGTCACCTCCTTGTCCTGCCTC